AGCAGAAGTTGAGCTGAGGCAGCAGCAAGGTGGCATGGTGTTACAGAGATGAAAATAGGTAGTCTTAGTGATGGCATCTGATTGGAAGTTCACCTCACATCAAATCTAACACAAAGTTTGTGAACAGGCTGGTTCAGCCTCATGAAGTTGTCAATGAGAGGGATAGTGTCAATGACTAAGGAGGAGAGTTTGTGATGGGAACAAAAAATGGTTTGGATCTTGCCAAATTTCTGCAGAACATGTACATTATTGTTATTCTATCATGCACCACAAGGCCATTGTGTTGTCTATCACTAAGTGTCCCTGAACTAAATGGCTTCCTAAGCAATGTCAGAGGACATTCAAAAGTCAACCACATCAATAAAGATTTGCAATTGCAATGTAAGTCATCCTGCACTAAAAGGAATCAGATAAATTTTTGCTGATGAAAGCTTTGTGGTCAGTGTTACTGAGACAGCTTTCAATTCCAAATTTTATCATTGAATTTAAATTCCACCAGTTACTATAGTAGGATTCAAACCTGTTTTCCAGAGTTTCTGGATTATGAGTCCAGTGACATGGCAACTAGGCTACTGGCCCCCCCTGATGTTGGTTGTTGGATAAACTGGATGAAAATCTATAGGTAGTGGAAGGATCACGAGAGGTGGTGATAAAGTCCATCTGTCATTCATGTATGGGGGAAAAGAGGTTGTTTTTTGAATGATGCAGCACATAGTAACAGAGCGAAATCATTAGCAAAGCAGAACAATAGCCAGGAATGGAAAATCTGGAAATCTGTCTTCCAAAAAGGCCTTGGAATTTTAAAACTGAAATTGATAGATTTTTATCAGGTACATGTATCAAAGAGTATGGATGAAAGATGATCAGCAATGAGATCATTTTTAAAAATTCATTTAGGGAATGTGGCCATCACTGACTAGGCCACCTTTAATTGCTTGAGAAGGTTAAGGTGAACCACCTTCTTGAATTGAGACAGTCCTTGGGGTGTCAGCATAGCTACAGTGCTTTTAGGAAGGGAATTCCAGAATGTTGATCAAGGGAGATTAAGGGAATTGTGATATAGTTCTGAGCCAGGATGGTGGGTGGCTTGAAGGGGAACTTGGAGCAGGGGTGCTGTTGCTATGTATCTGCCACCCTTGTCCTTCTAAATTTGTCGAGTTTGCAGGTTTGGAAGATGTTGTCAAAAGAGCCTGGTTGAGTTTCTGCAGAGTACCTTATAGATGGTACATACTGCTGTTGCTGTGTGTATCAGTGATGAAGAGAGTGAATGCTGAAGATGATGAATGGTGTACCAATCAAATGGGCTGCTTTATTCTGGAAGGCGTCCAGTTCCTTGATTGTTGTTGGAGTTGAGCTCATCCAGGGTCCTCGTAGATGGTGAACAGGTTTTGGGGAGTCAGGAGGTGAGTTGCTCACTGCAGAATACCCAGCCTTTGACCTGCTTTTGTAGCCACAGTGTTTATATGACTTTTCCAATTCAGCAAACATTCTAACTTCTGACCTCACATTGGAGGGAAGTTCATTGATGAAGCAGCTGAAAATGGCTGGGACTGGGACACCCTGACGAATTGCCTCGCTGATATCTTGGAACTGAGATGACTGGCCTCCAACAACCCCAACCACCTCCTTTATGCCAGATATGACTCCAACCAGTAGAGAATTTTTCCCCGATTCCTGTTGACTCCAGATTTGCTAACGTCCCTTAACATGGTCAAATGCTACTTTGATGTCAAAGGCAGTCAGTCATTTCACCTTTGGAATTCAGCTCTTCTGTCCATGTTTGGACAAAGGCCATAATGAGATCAGCAGCTGAGTTGCTTTGGCAGAACTCAAGTTACTGGTATCGTAACTGGAACAGCTTGGCTTGGGGCACAGCTTGTTCTGGAACACAAGTCTGGAACTTTGCCAGAGCCCTAGGCCTAGTGTCTAGTGCCTTCAGTCGTGAATTGATTGAATTGAATTAGCTGAAGACTGGCATCTGTGAGGAAGTTGAGATGGATCATCCCCTTGGCACTTCTGGCTGAAGATGAATGCAAATGCTTCAGTTTTATCTTTTGCACTGATGTACCAGGCTCCACTGTCATTGAGGATAGAGATTTTTGTGGCACCTCCTCCTCCAGTGAATTGTTTAATTGTCCACCACAATTCAAACTTGAAATATGGCACATAATTAAGGACTGAATTTTTTACTTCTTTTCGATAGTTCAATAATTGTATTGAGTTCTTACTAAGAGATTTAACTTGAAAGCAGCCATTGCACATTTTCTGTCAATTTAAAACATTTTAAACTTACAGTTTCACTGTATGCAAATGATGATTTCTGAAGAAAGCAGGTTTGGCTATTTTACTAGGTTTATGGCTGTAGAGAGGGCTATAAAATGCAGGCCCAAGATCATTCAGGACTTTAATGTTACGTACCTATTCTGGTTAAACATCTGAACAAATCCCTAAGATAATTGTTGCATACTTGCTAAATTCTTCACTTCTACAATGTGTACCTTCTGTCAATGCACTAAGATGAGTATAAATTACAACACTGCAAGTTTGTGTCACTTAGTAAATAGTGAAAACACTGCCCTTAGTTATATTGGCCTTCAGTTTAAAAGTGAACATCTATGGTTCTGTAAGTAAATAGTGCTCGATGGTTCATATATTTCATTCTTGTGACAGTATTGTGTTTTGTTCAAGCCCCTATCTTTAGCAGTGGATAATAACAACCATCTAATATTTATTGCATGAAGCACAAGCCCTTTAAAAATCAGTTTCTTCATTTAATTATTACATTGTATAATTATTATATTGATAGTTAAACAACTAAGTAATTTGCAGAAGTCAGTTAGCTCTGCTCTTGCATTGTGTTGGTATTGATAAAATTTACATGCTGCCAAGAAGCAAGTTTGCAGAATTATGGAAAAAAGAAGATGCAAGGGCAAAAGAAAGTGCTGAACTTTATGTTAAATGTACTTTAAACAACATCCCAGTTGCTTTTTTCTTCTTTGTCATAGAGCAAAAGTATGTGTTTTTATTAGGAAAAGCTCTCTTCAGAAGTCTTGTGTGGAGGGCCTGAGGCATTGAACTCAACAGTAAATGGACATTCACAGCTGGAAACTGATATATCTTTCAGCAATTTCAATGACATCAGACAGAAAAATCTAAGAGAAAATGGATGTCTCTCTAGTTTTACCTCCATTGCATGGCTTTTTGCTGCCCCTCTGCACTACACACATGATTAGCAGCAACCACACGTTATGTCCCTGTTCAATGACATGGCTTCGGCCTGATGGAGGGCTAAAGGTTATACATATATGTCAGAAGACTGGGAATTCAAACTACAGAATTTAAATTCTGTTGACAGGTTTATTAGTTAGTTCTTTTCCCCCTCGAGGTTGCTTTTCACGATTAACAGTCCACATAAGTCACTGTTCCTATTTAACTGCTGCATGTTTCCTTTTTTTGACTTTGACAGAGTGACTGAGACTGTTTGACGTATGGTTTTATGTTGCAAATTCCTGGTGTAGTATCAGCACTGCTTTCAATTGACATCCTTATGAAAGACAATTGGAAATGAGGATTGACTGCTGGAGTATTTCTGGTATCTTGAATTGACCAAGGGGATGTGATCTGTATGGGGCCAAGCCAAAGAATAGTCACAGTGGACCTGTAAAGTTTGAGAGTGTGGCCTTAACTGATATATTGGGAAGCACTGGTCAGAATTAGCTACCTGCAGCCATAATGTGGGGTGTATACCTTTTACTTCCTTAATCTTATGTGGTATTATATAACTAATTTCCATAAATAGATTTTCCCTATTTCTAAATGTTGCGTTAATCCTCGAGGACCGCATGTAATTGCCCTACTACATCAGTGTATTCCAAATATTCAAATTGCTGTAATGTGGAGGTGCCAGTGAGGAGCTGTGCTCTGAAAGTTTGTGACTTCAAATAAACCTGTTGGACTATAACCTGGTGTTCAATTACTGGAGAAGAAATAAATGCTCAGTTGCTAACCATTATGACTTGAGATTATAAATTATCATCGATATCCTACACTGTGTTTCACAAAACAATCAAACTGGGAATACTTTCGTAATTCACGCAAAGTCTCTAATTTTTTTGGTGTCTTATTTTCTCCTTTCCTCAGCTTTGTTCCAAAGCATCTCTTTCCATGGATACATAGATTTATTTTGGATATGACTTTATTCTGTAATTTTGTGGGCAGGGTTTGGAAGAATATGTATAAAACTGCTTTTTAAAATTGAAACTATTATTAAAATGCCCATTACTCTTGTTTTGATGAAGGCTTTTAAAGTCTAATATTTGGAAAGGATTTTATTGCACTGTACTCAAATAATCATACTGACTAGTTGTTTTTGTTTAATCTGCTGTATATGTGTGTGTAAACAAATATCTTAATTATATACTCCAGGAATCACCAAGCAAGGAAGGTGCTCAGTGGTTTCTGTTCAATTGGAATACAATAATTAGCATTTTAAAATTAATGGCGTTTTTACAAAATATACAGTAAATAGATAAACAAAGGCATTTCCAAACGGAAAGTTGAATGACATTGCAAACGGTTAATTTATTTCACTTATATGAGCTATCACTTCAATAAGTGGTTACCCTAGGTGATGGACTAGTGAGAAACCATGTATGGCAGACATTCATAACAAAAGACAAACAGCTCTGCAATTGAATGATAAAATGTGTGACAATAATGAAAATCGGTTTATATTTCTCCATTACTTCATGGTTGTCAGACTGTTTAACTGTGCATTACTCTGACCAAAGCTTCTTAGTTGCATGCTGCTTGACTAGTAAATTCATGGCTGTAACCTCTAATACTGGGCAGTGAAAGACATGCTTGTCCACCTTAATTAATTTTGGTTGTCACCATTGTAATCTCTGTTACGAATGTGGGAGCTAACCAACGAAGGTATAAAACAAAATATTTCTCAAGTCGGTCTGTCATCCATCGCTGTATTTATTTTTCATGTGCAGGCACCGACAACAATGACAGAGAGTGGAAAAGAGAGTTTGTCTCAAGAAATGACCAACTCACCAAACAGCAGCAGTCAAACCTGGGTGATGGGCCCAGCAGCCTCACAGAATTCATTATTACCTGGCAGGATTTCTTCTGGCACCTCAGCCGCAGCTTCTTTCTTCATCAGGTATTTGATTAATTCATTCAAATTGCTGGAAGTTAAGTTAATTATTTTCAGTCAAACCTTGACTTGTCAGCATGACTTATTTTACAAAAGAAGTTACTTTAGGAAAAGGACTTCAGTCAGCAATAAATTCCAGGATTGGCAGATATTTGTTAAACACTAGGAATTGATTTTTAAGGAAATAATGAAGCTATTGGATAATCTGATACATTTTGTTTCCCTTTCCCTTATTTTGTAAATTATTTCTCCAATGTTTCCTTTGGGTAAGAACTTAACTCGGGCATCGTTCAGTAAAGACCCTCCCGACCCGAAATGTCAGCTTTCCGGCCTCCATTCAATAAAGAGGTAAAGCAGGCTCCTGATTTGCCATCACACACTTTACACTTGATCGAGATCTATTCATTTGTGTCTGTCACCTTCAATGCCATGATATATTTTCCAACAAAGTGATAAAACCAAATTTTAGATGTCTGTTTAAATTTCTGATGAAACTGCTGGGACTGTAATCATAATCTTAGAACTCGTGGATTCTTCATTTTGTTCTTCTTTGGCTAGGGAGAAGCTCCCTTTCTATCTTGAGTAGATGGTTGAGTTTTGTGCATGTAGGAAGAAAGGACAATTATTTCTTCTGAACGTGCTGCACTTAGTAGTTGTCACATGCTAAATTATCCAAATATTGTAAATCATTGCATTTGAATGAATAAACAGTATATCAAGCCATTTCAGAGTATGTGGTGATCCCAAGTCCTGTCACCCTTTTCCAATATGGGTCTGTGCTTTAATTTATTTAAAATTCATGGACAGAATTTTCTTTCTCTTTTAAAATGTGTGGGGGCAAGTGTGTTAGATAGCTCAGTCAATTGCCCACCAACCAGCTCATTAAGACCTGGCCTGTGAGCAAAATGGAGTGTCTAGCTCTATCACAGACCTCAACACTGGTGATCTGGGTGACAAGGCAGAAGCTGGCAGCTTCAAGGTCCTAAAGTCCGCTGGTCAAGGCCTACTCCTCAGGGAACCCTGTGGCAAAATGGTAAGTAATTTCTAACTTCTTGTATCTGGGTTGGAATTGCCAAGAGAGTGGGGACAGAGGCAAGGGTAGGGTGGTGGCTTTCAGAGGCCCATTCCCTTGCTCCCCACCCATGCCTTCAATTACGCCAAGATTGAGAGATTTGGAGGCCCCAACTTTGTCTCACTTGCTGGGGAGTCAGCTGATTGGGAAGTTGGTGAGTTCAGATTAATTGATCACATAAGGGTCTTAACGATTGGTGAGTGGAGAAAGCCCCCAGTTTCATCCAATACTTAATTGTTGAGGTAGCAAGAAAATGGTGAGTAACTCACCTGGGCCAACTTTCCCCATTATTTTCCCTTTTCACCAAATTCAGGGAGAGAAAAGTTACATCCTATATCACTCTACACCAGTGAGAAATGCAAACTATTACCATTTCTGACATACACAAAATAGCTAGTTTTTCAAAAATATTAATATTTCAAACCTAAGGTTTGGAGGAGAGACAGTAGATAAGATAATGTTAATCGGATTGAACTAATTCTCCTGGACAGTCCTTGAATCCTGTTGTTTGCATCTTGCTAGACTTTAGCCCCTCACCCAGAACGACATTAAAATCTTATTCAGTTTAGGTGCGTCAAAAAGAATCTACCACCATGTGAGGAAAAATGCCACCAAAGTAATGTTTACTGCGTTGAGCTGAACTAAAAAAGAAATGATGCATTGACTCTAAGTAATTGTTGCTATCAGATGCATTGCCATGTGGGTCAATCAAAACAATGTATATATCTCAGTTAATGTCCAGTGCCAGAGATAATAGACTCAAACGTATTGGGTGTAAAAGCTTTTGCTACACTGACTACACTATGCAATTTGTATACTTTGAAGTACTAAAAATAATGCATTTCTCAATGTTCATAGTATAGATACAATAGTGCGCTACTGACACTCATAATTTTGTGTAACCCTTTATGTAGAGGAAGAGTTATGTTTCCATTACAATCAAAACGTCAGCTGCATGCTGGCTTCAGTCTCGATTTCCATATGACTGTATCTTTCTGAGTCAGACCAAAAGAACTGCGGATGCTGTAAATCAGAAACAAAAACAGAAATTGCTAGAAAATCTCAGCAGGTCTGACAGCATTTGTGGAGAGAAATCAAAGTTAACATTTCAGTTCCAGTGACCCGTCCTCAGACCCTTCTTCATTACAAGTGCAACTGTCCAGTACAACTGGCCTGAGTCAGAAAGAAACAAAAGCAGAAATTGCTAGAAAAGCTCAGCAAGTCTGGCAGCATCTGTGCAGAGAAATCAGAGCCAACTTTTCAGGTCAAGTGACCTTTTCTCAGAACTAGGGAAGAACCTGAGTTCTGAGGAAGAGTCAATCGACCCGAAACGTTAACTCTGATTTCTGTCCACAGATGCTGCCAGATTTGCTGAGCTTTTCTAGCAATTTCTGTTTTTGTTTCTTTCTGAGTCAGGTCAGTTGTACTGGACAGTTGTACTTGTAATGAAGAAGGGTCTGAGGATGGGCCACTGAAACTGAAACGTTAACTTTGATTTCTCTCCACAGATGCTGCCAGACCTGCTGAGATTTTCCAGCAATTTCTGTTTTTGTTTGCATTAGTAATTACCGACAATCACCATTTCTTGCTCTAAAGATAAACAGTTATAAGTGACGAGTCTTGTTTTCCTTCAGGTTGTAAATTTTTATTACAGAAATGATCATTTATTTCTATCAATGTATCGGTGGAAAAAATAGACCATGGTGCTATTTCAATGAAAGTATTTCAATCTGCAAGTTGACATATGGGTAGCATCTAAAAGGTCTAATAAAACTGAGGTCACCGACAATCAGAGAGAATAGCTTGTCCATCTTCTATAAGGCACAAATTAGGGTGTGATGGAATACTCTCCCCTCTCTGGATGAGTGTAGATCCACCAACACTTATGAATCTTAACACTACCCAAGCCACAACCAGCGTCCTGTCTGCTACCTTAAACATTCACACCCTCCTCCACCACCAAGCACTGTGGGAGCAGTGTGTAAATGTTCAAAATATACTGCAGCAATCACCAAGGGTCTTTCAACAGTCCCTTCCAAACTTGCAATCTCTACAAGCAAGAAATACAAGGGCAGGGTGGGAATAGCACTATCACTGGCAATTTCCTCTTCAGGTTACACAGCATCCTGACTTGTACTTGCTACTCCTTTATGGTCACTGCGTTAAAACCCTGTATCTCACTCCCTAGCAGTATTGTGTTTGCACTTGCAGATGGGTTGCAGTAGATCAAATGACAGCTTACCAGCACCTTCTCAGAGCAAGTAGACATGGACAATAAATGCTGGCCTTTAGAGCAACATGTTCACTTTTCAAGAAAGAATGTTAAAAACAATTGTATGTAGGTCAAAAGATCAAAGCAACTACATTAAAGAATTCAGGGACAGATTTATAAAGACTATTCTAAATGTTACATTACACATGTAATTCGCATTTAAAATGCATCAAAGTTACAGGTATGCAAATTTCAGCACAGTTCTGACATTTAGACATTCATTGGATGATTTATGTTAATGCTGATGCAAATTGCAGGTTAATGTTATGAAATGCAAGAGAAAGGTGACCTTCATGTCACTTACACTAGTGAATTTAATGTACAGAAGAAATATTAAGTAATTTTCAACAGGTAAAAATAAAGTATTGCTTCAAACAGTTTGCTGAACTAAAATCATTAAAGCACCAATTAGTTTTACTGTTCATTGATTTTGAATGAAAGACTCATAAAAATGCTAATAACTTTGTTTGTATAATAAACTATACAAATATTCCAACATTACACTGACAAGTTATTGGAGCACATGTGGTAAACTCCTAGGAGAGTACTGTTGAATAATAGTAGGTGAAGCAACTTTAAATATTTTCAAATTTCAAAAGGACATACAATAATCTGCTTAATTTTGTTACACAAACAAATGTACAGTCCATTAGGTCGCAACATTGTTTTTATACAGCATGTTGACAAAGTACAGTTTTTCTTCTTAGTGCAGTTTGTATTTCAAAACAATTTGTTGTGGAGTATGTCCCATTCAAAGTCAATAGCAGTGACAGCACAATGCAGCCTACATAATGTTAAACCATGTGGCAGTCACTGACACTTGATGGGTCAGTGATAAGCATTTGGTCATTAGGATCAACCATGAAATGCCTCCTATATAATTGAGGTTACTCAAAAGAACAGATACCATATCAGCTTTAGCTGTGGGGGCACAGCTTGCAGATGCTCAATGTACTGATTGTTCTGTGACTGAGCATATGATTAGTGTATTGAGGCAGTATGTTCCTAATGAAATGGCAGCAAAATGCATATCAGTAACACCAGTGCTGAAAAATGACTAATGTGGTGTTCTTCAGTGCATTTCACTGCTCAATTAGTGCCTATAAACTGTGCTTGCGGCATTAATTTGTTTTAACTCTAATGATCAGATGGGTTCTAGCTAAACATTGCTAGAAAAGCAATCTTATTCTTTTTGCTCATTAATTTTTCTCATGCCTCATTTCTATATTGAAACGGGTGTCCAGTGATTTAGAACTATTCTCATGTGTCTTGAATCCATCTTAATTAGTTTGTTACTGCAGTGATGTCACGCTATCTGTTTACTAAGAGTATGTCATTGCATTGATAGGGCAGTAGAGTGGAAGCTCCAGAAGTCTGAAGTAGGTTATCTATGAAGGTAGCCCAGCCAGCCTTTGGATCAGTTCACTGCTGACAGCCTGCTAGAACTTCAACTGGCAGATGGAAAAATTGAGGTTTGGTTTTGGGGCTGGATGTGCTGTTGCCAGCAAAACTGGAGAACTCATGTTGTTGTAACTGATTTCACAATAATAAACAGAATGGTCCTCAAGGTGAATAAAAAATAAAATACTGTAGTTACTGGAAATCAGAAATAAAACCTGGTTCTTTTAATGATCACATTTGTTGAACTCCATACCTATTATT